AATATGCAAAATAGACGTAATTTACTAAAAACGAGACATTCTCTGTTTTTTCTAACTAACTGGGAGCCAAATTTCCAGTGTGCATTTGAACGTCGATTAGGACACATTGGAGATGGTGGCAAATGGGTATGATCTTAGAATAGCGGAAAAATTGAATAAATGCTTCGGTTTTTTTTTCTCCGTTTAGGTGTGTGATCCATATCGTTTACAGAACAAAAAGTCGTGTTTAGTTTATAGTGCAGGAAGTAACGGTGATTTTTCGTTTGAACAAGATTTGAAATCATTGTTACCTAATTGTGAAATTTATACGTTTGATAGTGGTATATATAACTGTCCAATAAATATTTGTACTTATCGTCGGGCTCTAATTGGAAACGGAATTGTCAATGGAACAAAAACGATTGAGATGTTAATGAAAGAGTTAAATCATCAAGAACGTGAATTAGATATTTTAAAAATGGATATTGAAGGAAGCGAATATTCTCTTTTTATGCAAATGTTTAATTCAACCGGTACTAACAAAGTCTACCCTCGTCAGATATTATTTGAAATTCATATTGGTCAAAGAGAGGATCATATTACTCATCAGTTATTTGACAATTTAAGACAGCATGGCTATGTGATATTTCATAAAGAACCAAATTTAATAGCAGGATCAAAATTTTTTGAATATGCAATGCTAAGATTAACTAATAATTTTACAAACTAGAAATATTTTGTGTATACGTGAAAATTTTAAAAACATTGGTTTTTATCTTTTTAACCGCAGCTATTGCGTAACAATAGTGTGCATTGAGTGTATCTTTTCTGCGAAGTATAGAATGTTGAGTATGTTAAAGATAATTCTTTTCATCTTATCTTATACGGAAAATTCACCGATTACTAGTCTGTCCTGAAGAAAAGTCAGATAATTCAATTTTTTGCGCACAATACTAAACTTTTAGTGAATAAACGGTTCTAGATCTTATCACAACGCAAAAATAAAAACCATTTTTAGACTGTCAAAGTAAAAGCGCAATAAAGCAACAGAAGAGTTGAAATTTGATACGTATTTGTCTTCTTCTTCAGCTGTATGTGGTTTTTATTGCTAAATGACGATGATGTACAGATTAGAGTATTTACTCGCCATTAGAAGGAAAAAGCAACAAAATCTCATGTTCATTTTTTCTCCTCTTCTCCTTTCAGTAAAATAACTGTTGTGTGTTGAATAGACTATTGTATGCTATTCTTGGAGACTTTATCACTAGTTTATGTAAATTTTATTTAAATTTGACATGCTGGAAATGTGAAACGGAAAGATCAATACAAATATTGACATTTCATAATTTTGGAACAAAAGTATCAAACGGCAGTCAATATAGAGCAAATGATTGTTTATAAATTGTGTATGAAATTATACATAGATTATGTCTACAAATATAAAGCTAAGTATAAAACTGAGACATACATTTTGGAACTGAGTTAACAATGTAATACTGGGATTATAAGCGGATAATTTTCGATAACACTATTTAGACATGATATAAATAACTGAAGAAATGCTTCTCAACAAATCTCTCACTTGTTTAAAGCGGCTACAATTTCGACTTACGATACTACGAAACAAAAAATACGTTTGGATATAGACGGTTATTCATATATAAAGATCCTTGTACGAATGAAAAAATATATTGGCGTCCGATTAATTGTTCTTCTCTAGTGCCATTTTCGTCTTCATACATGCATTATAACCAATAATATCTTGAAACCTGCTACTGGGCATACTTGCAAAACGGGTGGCATGAAAACTGAACTTTGTAAATTTGATAAATAGATCGTTTATCGTTCGTTCAATACTCAAGAGATACCCGGTGTTATCGTTACACATTGCCGTAGAGGTATGTGTCTTCAGCTTAATAGGCTTAGTACTACTTAAGACTGACACGGCGAACTAAATCTCATGAATCTCTTACCTTAAGGGTGCTCCCACCCTTCCGGTTTTTTCCGCACTTTGTACAGCACAGTCTGAAGTAGGGGTGGCACTTTCCCGTTCCTTTCCCGAGTAACGTTAAAGTGGTATCTTTTATTTCAAAAGTAAAGAGTAAAGATATAATGTATATCTTTTTTTTAAGAAAGAAAAGATATGCATTATATCTTTACTCTTTTTTGTTGTAAAGAAAAAGAAAAACTTTTCTTTTGTTAATAAAAAAAGGAGGTAGGAAAGAGAAAGTGTCACCCCTAGTGTGAAGTATATATCCAATAATTTTTTTGATTCCCTGACTTTGTTTTTGAGAAAAGAACTGTTGAAGTTTTTTCAGGTTTTTTACCCAAATTTTGAAATTTAATTAAAATCTTTAAATTTTGAAATGAAGACTTGTTTGTTGGATCATCAGATAGAGGACATCAAGTTGTATGCAGAAAAAAGTGTTCATCGTTCCAGGATGAAGTTTGACGGAGAAATTCAACTTTTACCTTCCCCGTGGAGTTTTAGGCTAAAAGTATTTTGAAAAAAACCTTGCCCGTAGTTGTTATAAGCTTTATTGAAAAAGAAAAAAGAAAAAGTTAGAAAAGATCAGTACAATAATGAGGAGAAGGAGGCGAACCCATTGCATTTTTACATCATTGACTGCGGACAAAGGACAGGACAAGAAATACATATAAAAACAAGTGACAAGGTCAACATAAAAAAGACAAGAGCCCGTAGTTCCTCTAAAAGAAAGCATTTTGGAGCAAACATTTGCAGCATTTTGGGAAAAGCATTTCTGTGGGATAAGACTTTGCGAGTCCGCAATTCCTTAAACTCGAATTTTTAACTAAAGAATACGGATTTGAAAATTTCGTAAATATTAATTTCAACTTCGAGTTTACGGTATTTTAAGCCAGCAAAATCCGGTTCCATAGAAAATGACGTTCTGAACAACTTTTGCTCCAAAATGCGAGGAACTACGGGCAAGGGATTGTGAAAATATTTTCTTTTAGCTAAAGATTAGAGAAATTTTTGAATTTGAATTTTGAATTTTTTTGTTAAATTTTCCTAGTTTATGGAGAACACTTTGGAGTATGTGTACCAAAAACGCAACGACCCTTCTCGTGCAAGATGCCCTTCAGCTACTTTTTGGAACTTTTCCAACGTAAATTACTGTATTGTTCTGCTTACTTTCGCTCTGTAGAGTAATAACATTCCCGTACCCATCCGCCCCAAGATTAGAAGAGCATGCCCTTCTATTGTGTATTAGAGGATCAAAGCTTTTAGGATGGCATTAGAAACAAAATCAAATATAATTGATAATAAAAGTTTAATTCTACTTTCTTTAAGCCTAATAGTCGCGCAAAATAATGAACGTCAAATCTGCGATGAAATGATTTCGCACGCATTTCTATATTATTAAACGGATATAATAGAGTTTTGCCAGTAATATTAAAAGACGTTTAGATACTTAATAATTAATATAGTGGGATTTAGATTCACTTCTTTTTTTAAATAAAAATTGTACTATCTATAATGCTTTGAATATAGTACACTAAAAATTATGTCGAAGTCAACATCATTTCCATCATTGATAGCAAATTTAAATTCATTACAAACACAATTAACATGGTGTGAAATAATTCATCTTGTTCTGGGTAATACTGGAAATATTTTAAATTGCGTTGTTTTTCTACAAAAACCTCTTCGAAAGAATTCATGTTCTAAATATTTTCTTGCTTCATCTGTCGTTAATATATTTATTCTTAATTTTGGTATACTGACAAATCTTTATTCAATTAACTACAGAAATCCGTTGTCATATTCCTTTATTTATTGTAAACTTCGTACGTATATACTACATTCATTATTAATGTTATCAAGAACCTATATTGTTTTGGCATGTATTGATCGATTCGCATTATGTTCTCCACATGCTAAACGTCGTCAGTTTAGTCGTCCACATGTTGCAGATCTTCTAATACCTCTAACAGCTATCATATGGTTTATAATACCCATTCATATTCCAATATTTATCATATTTGAACAACAAAAATGTGTTATGTTAGGCTTGTATTATATATTCTTTAGTATATATGCATTGATATTTGCTGGTACAGCACCACCAATATTAATGATCACATTCAGTTTATTAGCCTATCAAAATATTCGACGTATTCGAAATCGAATTCAGCCAGATGTTGGAGTCAGTCGAGTTAGAATAAAAAATCGTGATCATCAATTAATGTCAATGTTATTCGTTGAAGTTGTTGTTTACATTTTGTCCACCGTTTTATATCCATTAAATACAATTTATTCCGCACTTACTTTATATGACAGTAGGAAAAACGCAGAAAGACTATCAATAGAAAATTTTCTCACATTTCTAACCGGAGCATTTCTTTTATATATAAATAATTCGTCAACATTCTATATTTATTGTATAACGTCAAAAACATTTCGACAAGAACTTAAAAAGGTATGCATTAATCATTGTTTGAAATATATATTGAAATCTCATTTTAATCAAACACAAACAACACAATTCAGTGACGTTGGATTAACACAAAGACCACTGGCATTCAAATTAAAATATCAGAAAGAACGAGATGTTTCGATATACCCTATACTAGAAGTGTAATTTAATATTTTGAACGTTAAGTTGGAAAAAAAAATCTCTTGTAAAAATAAAATTATTTATATTGTTGTGTACCGGCTTTCGAGAAGTTAGAATTCGCGCTCTGGGACTGAGAAGCGACAGATTTCGTAGTAAAATCGTGACATTTGTTATGTCGACAGACATTATGTGTTTTTGCTGGGATATAGTTAGCTACTCATAATAGGCTATCTCTGATATTACACATTTGAGGAAAAGATGATTCGAAACTAGAGGAATCATCGATGATACATCTGAAGTTAATTATGTCGACAGACATTATGTGATCGTTCTGGGATATTTTTCTTTTTTTTCTTGTTTAGTCACTTTTTTTTGAAAAATGTGCATGACGTGGTCGATCGAACTACTTGGCAGATATGATAGAAAACTCTGAAAACTGGAGCATAGTGTTTGGATCGACAACTTTCACGTTTTGAGATTGACAACTGCACGTTCTGTTTTCAAACATAAGTCCAGATTCGACGCCATAAACTGTAGAACTAAAATGTTTGTTAGACTTTTATTTATAAGAGTCGATTGTCCGGTACCATTTGTTCTTGCGACGAAATATAATTTTCTTCTTTCTTTCGTACCCATTTATTTGTCAAAGTGCCCAACTCATGATCCAGAGAACTATGCTACGAAGAAAACTTCTGAGAACGCGAAAATAACATCTCTCGACATTAGAGATTGATTAATGCACATTCTTTTTTCAAACAAAACTCCAGATTCGGTACCATAAGCTATACAAGTGCAGTAAAATGTTTTTTGGCAACTTTTCGTGTATTTATAGGAGTTGATTCTCCGGTGCTATTACTTCTTAAGACGAAATGACAAATAAATATATCCGTATTGATCTGATTTACTCAATATATATGAATATATAACGGGTACGGCAGATTAAATTGCCGGTTTTTGATAGGCTTTTTTCTCAAATTAGACTTGATCAGAAGGTTGGGTTCTGATGCTAAAAGATAGAGAATTTTGTGTAGATTTTATTGATATGTTCT